AGGTCATTTGGAGATTGAGAAGTATCTCCATGCTTACCTATTTGGATTAGATCCCAAGAATTAGATGTCAAGGTGGCCACAATGAAGGTTTGTTGTGCACGGGCTGGCCAGACAGATTTCCACCTTCTCTCCATGCATAGAAGGTGGAATGTCTAGACATGTCTGTGTAAAGCACAGCCATCCAAAAACATGGATGGGTTGGCCATCCACACGGTGTACGGCTTCACTGTGTTGAAATACTTTCCTGTAGATGCCTTGAGCCCTGGCTTCAAGGTGCTGCTGGGTTGGAAGTGGAATTTGCCCTTTGGGGCCCTGTCCATGGTCCTGCAGCCTCACAGAGCCTCTCACTAACAAAGCCATGAAAGATTCAGGCCCAGTTTAGAAGAGGGGCTTTCCCAGTGGAGTTGCGGATTAAAGGGTGTGTCCTCCTTCATTCCTCACATTCCGGATTTCCTCCCAATGAGATCTCGGGATTGGATTGCAAGACTTCACAGACCTTATAAGAAACCGCAGAACCATTGCGGCTCCAGTCCCACTTGAGCCAGCCTCCTGAAAGCAGCTCCTGCCTGGAGTGAGCACAATTCACAGAACCTGCTGCATAGACCAAGGGAGGACAGCAAGCTCTCTGGTGGGAGTCCTTACCATATTTTTCCTGAGGTGATTGCTAAGGAACAGAGGAGTGTGATGGGGTGCGTGTAGGGTTTACCATAGGGATTTTGGTGTGTCAGGTGTCACTCTATCTGTTGAATGGCGATCTTGAACTGCTTTGGACGGCATTAATCGTCCTGGGAGGGAAATGGGCCAAGAATGTTTCAACTTCCAGGACTGACATCCCCACCTATTTGAATGTGCTTGGGAGGTCAAAACACAGAAAGGGGATCATTGTGTGATGGCCACTAGCAGCCCCATACTTTTGTGATGTCGTGAAGTTTCATTTCATTGGTTAAAGCTCTGTTCTTTGCTTCCATTCAGCCAATCCAGGCCGACAACACCTGCGGGTGATTGACTCACACTCAGCCATGAGTCAGGAGACACACATGCTGATTCGGGGCCCAAGAGCCACTCCAGCCCAAAGAGCCCAGAGGAATCCCACAGGGCCCATGGCTCTGAAGGTTCCCCCACCGGAGGAGGAGAACCCTAGGGTAAGTGGACTTTTATATGTGTCAGCAGCCACTGGGGCTGGGTGAGACATGACTTTGGGCTTTGGGTCAGAATCTTTGTGCTCTGGGTTATGCATCAGGGAAGACTGTTCAGACCTGCCTTTAAGCAAGGAGAATGGTATTATTAGCAGCCTGGCAGGGTATGTGCTGTGTGGTCTCTATTACGGTGGATCACTGAGCCTATCTCAGGGTGAGCTTTGAAGCACAGACACCACATTCTGGCTTGACATACTTCATTTCACAGAAAGCAGTAAGTCCTAAGCAAGGGCAAGTGGAGTCCATTTACCGGCCGTCCCGGAACTATGGACTTGGAAGGATTAAATCTTGGCTTATACTTTATTGGTGCATCTCATAGTGGTTTACAATTCATCTGTACCTTTGTTTGGATTGATTGGTTTTTTTTCATTTACATTTTATTTGTCTCTATTTGGTCACCCGGTAGCGTCAGTTGGCTGAGTGCTGTGGCCTGAATTGGTGTTTCCATTGCAGTCAGTTATGCTGATATCTGGGGGTCATGTGTGGTCTCCAGCCCTGTCCCTCTTCCATTTGTCCCATTGATCTGTGACCCTGACCAGGGCAGAGAGGCAGGCTAGGGGACCTACAGGGAGAGACTGGGAAGTAGGTGAGCTCCTATTCCACAGGAGTGGTCCTCTGGCTGAGAGAGGGCTCACTATCATCACCCTTGCCTCTCTCACGGATTCTTGACCATTGCAGGTTCAAAGAATCAACTGTTTGGTGTTGAAAGCCATTCTGTAGTTTGTGTCCTCTCTGGAGAGAGACATAGAAGGGCATTCAGACCTTGAACAGCCCTGAGGCAGGAGAACAGACAATTTGCAACCCAGGTGCCTGGCGGTCCTGAACAAACACTGCAGCTACAAAGCTGAGCCTCCTCCCTCTTAGCCAGACCTTGCAATATGTCTAAAGAGCCATCTGGTGCCCATGTTGCTGGCCAACCTCTGAGGATGATCTTCACCAGACTCCATGGAGATTGGTGGTCGTCCAGTTTCTTGAGAGTGGTCCCGGATCTGGCTATTGAGCAGCAAACATCTCCTCCTGAGACCCCTGTCTCTCAGGAGAAAGAGGATGGTGCCCACTCTCACCCCCATGCACTGTCCTCTATGAGGGCATTCAGGTCTCCTCCACTTCAGAAGACAGTCATGGGGAGTGAGCCACCACCCAGCAAGAAGAAGCCACCTCCCTGCTCAGACTGCCCAGATCCTTCCAGATAACTACATGATGGACCCTCAGGAGTAAAAGATTTACAGTAGACCAATCTGTTCTTCACTAGAATGAACTAGGTAGATGAGTGGAACCTGTAGTGTTCACCCCAAATGGTGGCAACATTGAACACTCCTCTCATGTCTGGAATTGCATCTCCAAGCAAGTAGCCTCCCCTCACCACAGACTCTGGACTCTGTTCAATAACCTCAATGTACAAAACTATGTTCTAGTTGTCCTAGTATGTGGCCTTATCCATTTCAACAATAAAAATGTCCTTCAAATGATGCCTATGCAGGGTTTTCTTTTTGTGCGAGAACATGGGGTTTTTCACACTCCCTGTGGTTCAATAACAATCCACAAACCCATGTGGCATTCGACCTACCTCATCAGAGTGCCAGACAGACACTGTGCACACCCATACCTACCTTGTGATCTTAAGAACGCTGAGAGACAGGACAATCTGTAGGCCTCCCCTTCCATACTAATGCTGTGTAGCTGAAGGCTTGGGCCAGAAACCTAGGTACACAGCTACTGCAAGGTAGGAGCCTCTGGGGATTCAAGGTCAGGCTTTCCTGGACGATGTGCACTTGTACTTACCCTAGATGAGTCCTTTTCTCCCTGAAATAAGAGAGTGTTCAAAATACGGAGTAGCAGCAAGCCTGGTGGTCACACACACAATCTATGACATGTTATCCCAGTAGTAGACAAAGGTCAGATGACTGGTCAGGTTCAGGGCTCCATTGCCTACTTACTGGGCTCACATACATTTTTTTTTCCTCCATGGTCAGACAATGACCTGCCCCTACACTGCACCTTCAACTCAGTATCCACCTAGGATACCAATGCATTAGAAACCCTCTCACAGATTCTCCATCCTGGCTTCTGCCTTACAGCTATTCATATCAACACCTACTGAATAGTCTCAGTGCTGTGTTTTTCTGGAATTGATGTGCTTGAGACACTGTCTCACACTGACTGGAATCTCAACAGCTCGGATCTCCCTGCTGGCTAGCAGGCTGCAGTGATTTGTCCTCCTTGGGCTATTGAGCTGGGTGAGCCGTTCCTTATGTGGGTTTTTTTTTCCCAACCACGAGCAGCTCAGGTAACTTTTATGGGCTTCCCCTGCTCTACCCTCCATTCTGGTATCGTATCTTCAGTTTCCCCAGAGTGCCACACATGATCCGTGTTCCTCCTGGGCTCTCACTTGAGGTCATTTCCTCTAGATAAATTCTTTATTTCTTGCCCAATAGCTCTCTTTTGCTTCATGCTCCATTCCTCTCTTCCCTTCCTAGAGTAAGATCTTCTCCTGACCTTATTAGTTATGGGTTTAATGTCATGGTGCAAACTGTGGGGTCTGCCTGCCTGTTGTCCCCATTTGGCAAACTCCTGGGTATGTAAGGGCTAACAAGCTGGAGACATCATCATGGACAGGCGTTTGCTATGTCTAAATCTGCTGAATGAGACAGACATTACACCCCGTGAGTTTCGGCCAGGCTCTCGGTGCCCAGAATGATCTTCAACAACTTGGGGGCAAAGGCATTGTGCTCAGCAGCTCCACCCAACCCAGATAGAGTCCAACATTCAGGTCAGTATCATCCACAACAGAACTCACTCCACAGACATACACAAAAGAAGCGTTTACTTAGTGTTGTCTGTCTAAATATCCATCTTACCTCTTTGGAGAATAAGGCAGGAGGACTCTGATAGGATTATGCCAGACCGCACCACACAGTGAATGCCAGGCAACACTGGCTTTTATTTGAGAGCCAACTAGATTATAATCACTATTCATTTCATTATTTATTCTCTAGTCTTTGTAAACATGCATATTGAGTGGACATATTTTCCCACCTGTCTTCATGGCTTCCAAATCCTTTGTTGTTGCACTTTTATTGTCTGAATCTTGCCCTCATCATTTTCTACAGTCCTTTTTATTTTTTCCAATCACGATTTTAATACCTCATATTCTAGACATATGTTCATTTTTTTTGTTAAATCACTACATTTCTTCAATTGTCTCACATTTATCTGTGGATGTCAACCATCATTTTGATAGAAATAAGAGTCTGTCTGTCTGGGTCTCAGTCTCTCTCTTCTTTCTTTCTCTCTCTCTGTCTCTGTCTCTCTTTCTGTGTGTGTGTGTGTGTGTGTGTGTGTGTGTGTGTGTGTGTGTGTGTGTGTGTGTAACTCTTTCCATGTGTCCACATTCTCCTCCCAGGTCTGCCCCCTCTGACACTTAGATTCTCACCATGTTTCCCCAGCTGATGGCACTCCAAAAATGATACTATGAGTCATGAGAGAATTCTTTGTGGGCATCGCTCCTTTGTTAATTAATATGCTTGGTTGGTGACTTGATCAGATACCAAGTCCACCTCTGTAATGATAAACACTGAGGAAACAGACTGTAGGTTGAAGGTCATTTGGAGATTGAGAAGTATCTCAGTGCATATCTAATTGGGTTAGATAACAAGTATTTGATATCCAGTTTGTCAGAATGAATGCTTTGGTGTGTCTTGGCTAGTTAGACAGATTTCCACCTTCTCTCCATCCATAGAAAGCCCTTCAAAGATGTTGGTTTCTTCCTCTATTTTTTTCCATAGTTTATGTGCTTGAGAGAGTTGTGTCACACTGATGGGAAGATCAACAGTACCAGGCTAGCTGGTTAGCACACTCCAATGCCCTGGCCTTACTTAGTACTGCATTAGTTTCTATGACATACCCACTGGGGCCTGAGTACCACATCTCTATTCAGAGGAGTTCCATGTTTGTATGGGCTAGATATATATCTGTCAAGGACCCTGATGGACAAACTCACCCTGCTTCTAAATGTCCTAAAGCCAAATCTTTAAAAGAAAAACCCAGGCTGTTGGTTCCAGTCACTCATTTCAGCACCTTGGATGTAAAGGCATTGTTCTCAGGAGTTCAAGGTCAGCCCAGGCAGAAAACAAGTTCAAGTTCAGTGTGGGCCACAAAAGTTCTTGCCTCAGAAACAAACACAAAAGCAGCATTTTCCTGGTATGGTATGGCTGAAGATTAATTTTATCTCTTTGGAGTGGGAAGTAGGAGGATTGCTCAATGCCAGTCTATCCTAAACCATGCATTCCAGGCAACCCTGGCCTAGGATTGAGACCTACTTCATGGTAAACACTAATTATCTGAGTCTTCTATGTTGTTAAAATGTTCATTTTAAATCATTTAAACCATTTCCAACATTTCTTTATGGAGAAAATAACACATTTCTGAAATCACTAAGTTGTGAGTGTGGCTCTTGGGATGGGGGTTGGTCCACTGGTTGGAGGGTGAAAAAGCCCCTCTGCACCAATCATGCAGGCTTGAAGACTTGCTGACCCAGAGGTCGATCTAAGTCATGGGTGAGCACCTAAGACTCTTCATTGATGCTTCCATAGCCCCTACCCCTGGCTGTGATCGCCTCCCCTCAGCCAACATGCCACTCCAGCCACTGCCTACATGCCCACCCCCCGGCTTCAACATACCAAGGCTTAGTGCAGTTCCAGGCTCAGCGTCTCAGTCCTGGGAGAGCAAAGGGTTAGCAAAAATTACCGTGACTAAAAGTAGAAAGAAAAGATCAATTTGTCAGAACCTGATCACACATACATTTTCTACTGAAGCCCAAGGAAAGGGTAATGAGTTTGATATCCTAGCAGCTGTGGGGCACAGCCTTGCTGGTTCTACTTCATAGACAAGGTGTATCTCATTGTTGATTATACCTCCCTTCAGCATAAGAAAATTGAAATCTCAGACCCAGAGAATAAGGGCAACAAAGAGCAGGATTTCCCTAGGCTGGAGTGTGGCAAGGACTAAACTTCTCCTGGCTGTCTTGTTATCTTTTAGCCTCACTAGGTCCCAGAGGCCTCACTATGGGCAACCCTGTACACACTAGGAATGCCTTTGGTCCAGTGGGAAATGTTCCCCAACTGGCCAGTACCCCTATTAATCTACGGACTACACCTCACCTGGTCAATAGCTCTCTGGTTTTGACATCTCTGTAAGTCTGTGCATATTTCAAACATGTCTGCCACTCCCTCCACAGGGACCCAGGTATACCACACTCTCTTGTTGCTACAAAGTATGAACCTTATAGCCTTGCTAGTTCACTGTGGTCTGCTGAGTTAGCTGTGTGCTACCACCCTGGGCTGTAAGGACATCTGACTGTTTGATCTTACCTGTCTGGTGTGGAGATATGGGGTTCCACCATATCACACTATTTAAGCCAGGGAACTCTTCCACAATAGTGAGGTTACTAGGGGGTGATCAGGACACAGGTCTGCTTGAGCCACAAAGCTATGAGAAACTTGCTTAGAACACATTGTGTGCACAGATCCACAGCAGTAGAGGCCAGCAGCCTTGCCTGTGCCCACGAAGCACAGCTTTACTTCTGGGCAATGCAGTAAGTTTAATCTTGAAAATCTGTGTGATGGAACAAAGGGCATAGTCTGGAGGTCAAAGGGAGAAGATGTATTTGAGAAACACCCTCCTCCTGTTTCTACCCCCAACAGCAAAATGGTTTCACAGAATGTCAAAAATAATGTAAATGCTATGAAATTAGACTGATCTGAGAAGTGAATTATTGAAATTCAAACTCTGAAAATGAGAGCTCTGTTTCCTTCTTAGTTGACTCATGAAAGAGTCATCACTAGTGCTACTGAGAAGGGATCTCCCTTTAGAATCTCCAGTGAAGACCCTGTATGTATCTGTATTGCATACCTTCTCGTCATGACTGATAAGTAGCTTAAAGGAGGGAGACTTCATTGTGGCTCACAGTTTGAGGGTGGGGTAGGGGGGATACTTACATCATGGCAGGGAAAGCCTGATGGCTGGAGCCTGGGAGAGTTGGTCACTTTGGATCTGTAGTCAGCAGACAATGAGTAGGAAGTGGAGCAGGGCTCTAAAACCTTAAAACCCACCGCAGTGACCCACTTTCCTATTGACACTATTGATCCCCAACCTTCCAAAACAGCGCTGTAGGCTCTGTGGACTATTGTTCAAACACATGAGCCTGTGGGGGCGCATTTCCCGCTCAAACTGTACCAGAACCTGAAGCTTATGAGCTGAACGGAGCACAGATTCCCCAGTTCAGGCCCTGATGGGGGTCGGTGTCTGGGCACACACCACACATACCCTCCTGGATCCCACAGGAGATGAGAACAAGTGAACTAGCCTAGGTGCTGCAACCACTCTCTTCCCCAGGGTACCCAAGTGGGCACTGGGGAGCAAAGTGCCCAATGTAGTACATTGACGATGGAAACATGCCAAAAAGAAATGAGCCACGTGACTCAGCCAAACAAGAGTGAAAGTTGCTAGCCATTTTGCCTCTCCTCACCCTCGAACAGATGGAAATAACACAGACTACTGCAGGCAATACCATATCATTCTTCTGGTCACAACCAAGATGAGCTAGCCAGGTCAGTTCATCTCCTGTGAGGTCTGAGTTTGCAGCTGAGTCTCTAGGGCTGTAATTCTGCATTTCAGGCAAACCTTTGTGTAGTGTTATAAGCAAGGGCCCGATTAAATGTTTTTCATGGCCTTGAGCATGGTGTCTCTTCACAGAAATAGAATACCAACTAGGAGAGTCACGCTGTTTAGCACAGCAACAGAAACCTAACTAAGGTAACATCCAATGTAGTGAATAAATTAAAACAGCCTGAAAATGTGATTTTCCTTTGCTGCAGTCTTTTGTCAGAAACAATGGATTTGTTCCTAGGATGTGCAAAATTGAGGAATCTCATGTTCGTTTTTTTCTCAGGATTTCTATCAATATGCTGCCCCTCAGCCAGGTGCTCACTTGAAGGACAGACATTCTGAATGTCAGCTTTGGATTAAGCAAGACAGCACAGCTGTAGAGATTTTGCCTAGGCCTCACCAAAACTACTCACCCTGGTCAGTGACCAGAGTCTGCCAGTGAGTCCATGCAGTGTGCTGAAGGTGACTCCTGGGTCCGCTTTAGGCACTGACATATATAAACATTATCTTTCACACCTCACCAATGTTTCTCTACAGGGGAAATACATTTTACTTTAGGGTTCATCTTATACTTTAGTGGCAAGGAAACTCAAAGCTAAACGTTAACCAGGTTGTAGCAATGACTTAGGGACTACGACAGTCTCCATTAGAGGGAAGGTGCATATACATGCCTCTTCCACCACTCTTGGTGAGAAGCAAGCATGCTGATATACACAAACAAAGAGGTTAAAACATCTACATTCTAATGACTTCTGTGGTTTCCCTACTGACACAGTTTCCTTATATTGTTCCTTTAATTATATATAGCAAGGTATCTAAAGACTCTAAGTTTGTTACAAAACAAGATTCAGAGAAGGAAGGAAGGATGACAGGGACTCCTTCTGTTAATATTTGATAAATCATCGGCTACATTAAGATAAAGATGGTTGCAATATTCCAGGGATATGCAGGCCTCTCTATGGCTCTCCAGTATTCAGGAACTAGTGCTGATGTGCCCAGAGCTCTAGCCCATATGATAGCATCTTGATAGCCATGGTTCCCCACAGGCTCTTCCTGTCAGCTGCCTTAGACACCTTCAAGAGGGAGCATGCATGGTAAGGTGGGGTGACTAGGCTCAGGTCTTTGATGCCCACAAATTTGAAAGTCAGGTCCTCAGGGTGGAAGTGTCAGGAATACATCCTTGTCATTTGTATTTAAAAATATCCCCCAAAAGCCATGTATTAAAGGCTGAATTATCCGATCATGAGGAGTCTAACTTCATCAATGTAATTGGAAAATGTTTCACATATTCAAAAATTAAGCAAGATTTAATTATGAATAGCAAAATGTAAAAGTAGCAAAAATGAAATTACAGTGGATATCAGGAAAAGATATTTTTTGATAATCTCTCTTTGTAACCAGAACTATCTTTGAGCTCACTCAGTAGCTCAAACCAGCCTTCAACTTGTGATTCCCCCTGCATAGTCTCCCAAGTCCTGGGATCATTGGCATGCCAACCTCAGAACAGAGCTATTGAATGATACTTAAAATCTTAAAATGCGCAGAAATATAGACAGAAACTGTCTTAAGCAAAGGAATAAATTAAGCCTTAAGGAGATCTTGTCATTTGCCTCCTGGATCTGTCTGAAGGACATTACATGAAATGAAGCAAGCCAGACACAGAAGAAAAATACTGTCTGGTCGCACTTATATGTGGTATCTCAGAAGAAAAAAGCATCTGGAAACATAGAAACAGAATAAAACAATGGTGGGGGAAAAGTGGATGAGACATGAAGTGATTCAGGGAGCCTGGGATATGTATTTCTTGATAATAATTGTCTTGCCTTGAAGATTTTTGCTAAGAAAGCAAATTTCGGGTGCTCTTAGCTTACTATCCCTCAAAGGATACACACCTCTGTGAAATAACAATTTGTTAATTTTCTGTGCTATAGTAAAAAAATTCACTATTTAAAAAAAAACATAGCTCTAGTGTTGTAAATGAAAGACTAAACTGAGGAGCATAACGGTAGATTTGAGCCAATGGGAAAAGACTCTATGGACTTAAAAGCAGGTCCACTGAGGTTATCCTGTCCAAAAGACAGAAACAAGGAGGTAAAAGAAACAAAACTGTAGAGTCATGGGCCACCATAAGCTGCAAACACAGGAATAATAAAAAAAAATCCCAGAGGAAGAGAAAGGGGGATAAAAACAACCAAACCCATCTGAAATTGAATGAAAGACCACAGAAAGTCTTCAAATACCCAAGAATCCCAACAAAATCAACTAGGATAAACTAAAAGAAACACAAAACAAGACACATCCAAGTCAAACCACCAAAAGGCAAAGACAAATACAACAAGTAGCAAGAGTCCTTCATCATAAACATCTCCCCCTGGAACATGGTCCCAGAGGCCCTTCCTGAAACAACCCGGATGGAATCTGTTACTATCGGTGAAGTATAAGATGAAAGATGTCAACATCTTTCCAACCTTTTGGCACTCTCTCCTTTCATAGGTCTCTCACGTAGGGCCCCATCTCAGCCTCCACCCTATGACTCAGAACTGAGTACAAAGGGGTCACTGTGAGGAGTGTTGGGGTGAGCCCAAGAGATGCATCACTGGGATTCTGATGTGACAATGACTGCCTGCCCTCTGGGGTCTTCGGAGCCTTCTCAGTTGGGAAACAGCTAAGCAGTAAGTAACCTTAAAATAAGTCCTAGCCTAGTATAGTTATGAAGACCAGGCATGTTTTTATTAAATTTAAAAGTATCTACATAGACACATATTGGCAGTTTTCTATTGTTCTTGATATATAACGCACATATACTCGATTTTACCTATTTTATTTCCTTTAAGAGCATTTGCTTTGCATTTGTTTGTGTACATAGGTATGAGGGTATCACCACTGTGCATGTGTGGACTTGTAGGAGTTGGCTCTCACCTTCCATGTTGTGACTTCCAGGAATCAAGCACAGGTCTTCAGGCTTGGCAGCAAGAGCCTTTACCCACTAAGCCATCTTGCCAGCCCCCTCAAAGATAATGTAGTGGTAACTTGGGAAAAAATAGGGCACGATTTTTCCTAATTCAGGAAACTACCATCCATTCAGCTGCTATTTCTTGAACATCTGCTCTGTGGCAAAAATTACGCTAGGCTGGACCTAGGGATGGGAGACAGGGCGCTGCTAACTGGACAGGGTGGGCAGCCCTGAGCCTGAGTCTGTGCGGCCGTGAGGAGAGGGTGCCTCCTTGCCTAAATCTGGAAGAATCAGGTCACTTAGTTCAAGCCATCCAGAGGGTGGGACTAATGGAGAACTTAGCATTTTCTAGGGATTCTAGTTCAAGAACCGTATAATGACATAAACAAAATCAAAGTTCTAAATTCAGTTATATTCATCCAACATTTCTTTGCTGGCTGCCAGGTTACAGAGACAGCAGGAAGACACATCCACACATAATATCAAGTATGTCAGGCAAGGATAGAACAGTGGCAGACAGACACAGAGAAGAGGGGAGAAACAAGGACTGAAGCCTACCCAGAAGGTGAAGGAGACCTTAGAGGAGACACAGTCGGGGCTTTGGTAGAGAGGTAAAAATGTCTGGGTTGTATCTCGAGAAATAACTCTATGTCACCTGGAACAGAGTGGAGAGACAGAGGAAAGTAAGGAGATAGACAAGCAGTTGCCGGTAGGCTTTGATTTTCAGGCTATGGAGTCTTTGCTCGTAAGCAGGTGTGATACAACAGGACAAAATTCTAGAAATCCATAGGGGTGTCGGGGAAGGCTACACTGTGTAGGCAGATAATCTGGACTGCAAGTGGTGGTTTTTAGAGGCGCTCTTACCCTGCGAGGAAAAGTTACAGAACATGACAAAATCCACTAACAAGAGTTTTATCCAGACAAGGAGAAAGGGATAGATGTTGTCACGCAATTACGTGACCACACAGCGCATGGGTTAGTAGGACATATGACCCGGAAATGACTAAGTGTCCCGCCAGGGCATGCGCGACCATGGGTGTGTGGCTGGAATTCCTATCAGCAAGATCAACACCAGAGACCAAGGAAGTAGGAAAAGACATCCTACCCAGAAATGGGTGTGGGAAGAAGGAACAGAAAGTGTGTACCTCCAAGAGATGTAAAGGATCAGAACTGACCGAGCTTGGTGGTTGAGGAGAAATCTGGTATAGGAGGAGATCAGAAGTCAGCCTCAGGTTTCTGGTTTGTGTTCCTGGAGAGAGGCCAGGTCAACAGCCATACATACCATAGCCACTATCTTTTCATGTATGCATACACACGCAGGTACAGGTACACTCACACACACACACACACACACACACACACACACACACACACACACACCTCCTTCCACTGGTGGGGTTCACCATCCAATTGTCTGTCTTGTAACAAACAACTTTAACCTGTGAGCCACCCAGTGTGAGTGAACATGAACACACACACACACACACACACACACACACACACACACACACACACACGAAGGGGGAGGGAGGAAGAGAGAGGAAGAAGGAAGGGAGAGAGGGAGAGAGGGAGGTTCTTCATTCTCTAATCCCAAGCCAGAAGAGAAAGAAAAACCCAGGGAAGGTCTGGGCAACTTCCTGCAAATGGCTCATGCTGCTTCACAGTGTGCGCTTTGGTGCGGACCCCTGAGACAAACCCACCGCAGCCTCCGAGAAGCACACCATGGGACCTCTGCACTTGAGTGCACACACTAGCTACATCCAGCTTTCCCTGCTCTCTGAGAATTCATCCTTTCCACCCTGTGACGACCTTGGTAGTTACCTGAATTGTGGATTGTCCTGAAATACGCTACCTCCGACACGTGACCGTGTTTAGAATCCTTAGCCTCTCCCTTTCCCTCTTCTTTCCTTTATTGCCCTTCTCTTCCCTCCCCCTCCCTCCCTTCCCTTCCTTTGCTCTTCTCCCCTTCCCTGTTTCCCTTTCTCTTCTCCCCTCCACCCCCGTTCTTCATCTTCCTCTTTCCTCTCTTCTTTCCTTTTCTTCTACTGGTGTTAAATATTTTACAAACATATTTTTATGACACGTACACAGCCACCTCCCGGGGAAAGAAACAGGATGCTGCCAGCCCCTCTGAGGCCCTTCTCAGCTAATTAGCTCTACGTTGCTCCCCAATTGTTTCGCCACCAAACACCTTCATTTTCACATCACCCTGTGTACTTTGATCCTAAGTTTAGCACCACTGCCTTTGTTGGGCGAGATTGTTTGTGGAACACTGGACCTTGAAGGTTATCAATCAACCGGCTCAAAGCCATGGCCACCCAGTATTCTTCTGTACTAAATCTTGTCTCTCACTAATAGGACTAAGAGCAGTGATTAAATTTTCCCATATCAGACAGAGTGCCTCCCATACTCATGGATGTGTTCTTTCTGGTGTACTCACAGGGTTTGACCAACTGACCTGGACGTGGCCAACAGCCCTGACCTCCAACGCAGCCACCCACCACTCTGGCTGATTGGAAGATGTTTCCCTTCAAGGTGAGCAAATGGGTAGGACTGGCATGCCTCCGGTCTCTGGTGCTGTCCTCACCCAGTATTCGTCAGAAGAAACTAATAAACAAGCTGCAAGAGGAAAAGGCTTTTCGAGAAGAGATGAAAAATTTCCACGAGAAAATAGAAGACTTCAGAGAAGAGATATGGGATTTCCGAAGCAAGATCCGGGCTTTTCGGAGCCAGATCCTGGATTTCCAGGAAGAAGAAAGACCTTTCTGGGAAGAAGAGAAAATGTTCTGGAAAGAAGAAAAATCCTTCTGGGAAAGGGAAAAATCTTTCCGGGAAGAAGAAAAGACTTTCTGGAAAAAATACAGAACCTTCTGGAAAGAGGACAAGGCCTTCTGGAGAGAGGACAATGCTTTATGGGAAAGAGACAGGAATCTTCTTCAGGAGGACAAGGCCCTCTGGGAGGAGGAAAAGGCCTTGTGGGTGGAGGAAAGAGCCCTGCTTGCAGAAGAGAAGGCTCTGTGGGAGGATAAAAAGTCTCTCTGGGAGGAAGAGAATGCCCTCTGGGAGGAAGAGAAAGCCCTCTGGGTGGAAGGTGGTGGCTTCCAAATCCTTGGGGAGCAGAGGCACCAAAATGGCCCCTACAATGCCAATGGAGAGCCACAGTCCACAGCCTTCCCCCGAGGTCGTGCGTAGTGAGCACTGTACACACGGGGCCATGGGGTACAGCCGTCACTGGTTGGGACCCAAGTCCAGGGTGACCCCGTGTCCTAAAGGAAATGGACACTAACTTGTCTCTTTGCCATGAAAGAGATAATAAAGTCCTGAGGAGAGGTTTGAGAAAGCATCTCTTCCAGGAGGGTTGGCTGCCTCTGCCCTGCCATACCATCTGACTCTGTGATTCTCTTATCCCATCCTCCAGACTGTATTGCTGACCCCTGGGGCTGGCTCCAGACAGTTCCCAATGTCCTCTGCCTGTGTGGGGGTTTGTAAGGTTGTGTAAAAGACACTCAGACAATGTCAGACAGAGAAGAGCTGACACATCCTCCCTGTCACTCCGAGGGGTGATCTCTTTACTCTGGCCAATTTGGGAGACCCAACTTGGGCTGACAGACTTCTAGAAGTCTGCCTCACTCCTTGCCACTCCTCAGTGGCTCCTGTTGTCCACTGACCTTATGCCAATAATTCCTTTATAACTCATCGGTCTGTATTCCCCCCACATTCAATCAATTATTTGCAGCTCCTCAAAAGCACTGCGCTCCGCCATTCTCACTTGGAATGCATCTTATATCTCAGACCCCAACTCATTCCTACTCTATTGGTAAGCTTCTCCAAACCATTAGCTCCACCACCCCCCCAGGAAGCCTTTCTACAAGTTTCCACTCACCCTCCCAAATAGCTGGTGGGGTGATCCAGGAATCCAGGAGTCTTCCCTGTCTTGCCTCTGCATCCTCACACTCGGATGGGTCTCACTGTACCTGTCTGTGTTGTCGGTTCCTTAGCCCTTCCATGCTGCCTTGTGGAAGCTTTTCCATCACTCTGGGGTGACAAGGAAGGTACATCCATTGATGAGGGAACAGAGACCCAGAGAAGCAAAGTGATTGCATACGGCCAGAAACAGAACACATCTCCTCTGCCCTGGGCTTCAGATCCTTTCCTAATGCAACCTGGCTCACGGCAGTTGTCTTTAGAGGCCACCTACCTTAAGAGGTAGAGTCTAGTGAGGAAGTTAGGTCATTGGGACTGTGTCCTTGAAGGGGACAGGCTTCAACACAGGCCTCAGAGCAATAGACCAACCAGCCATAGATCGAAACCTCTAAAACTGTAGGCCCAAAGAAACTTCGAACTCTGTAGAGTGATGATCTTGGGTATGGTGTATAGTAATAAAAAAAAAACTGGCCAACACATGGAGAGATCAAGATGGTGGTTTAGACACTCAGATTTCAAGAGTGATCACTGAGGCTCATACCAAGATGATCTGGTCTGGGTGTGGTATGTGGAATGACAGGAACCTCCAGAGCAGCAAAAGGTAAAAATCAAGCAGGTCCCAGATTCTACCAAAGAAAAAAAGAGTAGTGAACCCCAAAGGAAAGGTATAGAACGGGAGTGCAGCTAGGCAGTAAAGCATTTGTTTAGCATATGCGAGGTCATGATTTTGATTCCTAAAATGCAAAGAAAGGAAATAGAACATAAAAGAGAAAATGTAAACCAGTTTGAAGCACCAATTACGAGCACACAATGAGTAGAAACGACCCATTTCTCAATGCTCCCTAAGAGACCACTGAAGAGACAGCTGTCCTTCGACAAATGCTTGGAGAAGCTACCCAGAGACGAGTGGTGGGTCTCTGGGGCTCTTTCTTTTACCCAGCACACAGTTGTGACCTTTCACTGTCCCAGGTTCTGCTCTTCCAGATCTGGGTAAGGAAATGGGCAGGTCAGTGGGCAAGTGTATCCCCGCCGGATGAGACAAGTCTGTCTTGGAGTGATTCCTTGCTTTTCTCTTAAGCTTCTTGGGAGGGTGAGTGGAGACTTGGAGAAAGGCATAGGCTTTATGTAAAATTAAATTAATTATAAAATAAAAATATTTTTTAAAAAAGGGAGAGAGAGGGGGGGGCTTCCTGGAGGGGCTAATGGCTCGGAGAAGCTTACCAATAGAGTAGGAATGAGTCAGAGGCTGAGATGTAAGATGTGTTCCAGGTGAGAACGGCAGAGCACAGCACTTTGAGGAGCTGCAAATGTTTGATTGAATGTGTGTGGGGGGGGTGGAATACCGACTGACAAGTCATAAAAGAACTACTGACATAAGGGAGCCACTGAGGAGAGGCAAGGAAAGTAATGATGCACTTATATTTAAATTTAAGGTATTATTTGGTACCAGCGGTCAAATCCAAGGCCTCATGTTCGATAGAAGAATTCATCAACACTGTTACACCTCCAGTTCAGGCTTAAATCTTAGAAACAACATGTGAGGATTCACATGTGACACACAGATAAACAGCATTGGCCTCACCTATGAGCTTCTTAGAAATACAGAATTAAAGCCGGGTGTGGTGGTTCATGCCTTTAATCACAGCACTTTAATCACAGCAGAGGCAGGTGGATCTTTGTGAGTTCGAGGGCAGCCTGGACTACAAAGCAAGTTCCAGGACAGCCAGGGCTGTTACACAGAGAAACTGTGTCTCAAAAAAACAAAAACAACAAAACAACAACAAAAAGAAATACAGGATCATAGGCCTTATTCCAATCTATTGAATTAAGGTTCTGTTTAATAAGGTCCCTGGGTTATTTATGTGGCTTTAAAATTGATAGCATGTTTCTGTAATATGAGTGAGCAGAGGAGGGGGAAGTGAAGAAATGGCAAGACCATTCATCTGGTCACAGCAGAGTCCAAGGAAGTGGTGCTGGATTGGCATGAAGCAGCCTTGGGGTGAAGCTAGGGAAGAAAGCCACCAAGAGGTAGATCAGTATCTGCTTGCTTAGGGATGGATGGAATGTGAGCACACAGAAGAAGCAGATAACCAAGACATGTAGGCTCCTCACAGAGACAATGAAGGGATCATTGTACCTGTCTGTCACTGAGAAAATCCAAGAAGGCTCCGGAGAGATGAAGGGTGTAATCAAGGACATGTAAGATTACAGGGCTCCACAACCTGTTGGGTCAGTGCTTGGAGCTGGAGCTGGAGTTGTTGATAGTTATGAACCATCCAAAATGGGCACTGGGAATGAAACTCTAGACCACTATAATAGCAGCAAGCACTCTTAACCTCTGAGCCTTCTCTTCAGCAATGGCACTTTTTAAATGAGTCAGTGGGAATCTCTCTACCAGTTTTCTAAATGAAAGTGTATGGAGACATCATGTCTTTTTTTTAAAAACTTATCTTTAATCCTTTTACTTTCCCAGTTCGGATGTTCCACTTTCTTGTAATAATCAAAGCACTGAGTTAGTCAGTGTCCTGTAACTCAGGAAGATAGCGAACTGACCAAGGTAACCCCATTTTGCTTTAGCTGACTGCTTTTTATATGCTTCACCCAAGGGCCTCCTAACCCTGCTAACAACATCCTGCTGAGCAGAACATTCTAGTCTCCTACCCCTGCAGCTCCAAGTCCATTGCTTTAATAAATGGGAGCTTTAAAAATCTTTAACAGAAACTTTTGAAAGTTCAGACCCTGGTATGGTATAATTGCGATTTGGAGCTTTTACAACCTGCCTCTCTCCAGGGTCAGGAGACTTTTTGTCATGAGCGTGCTCTGAATGACAGAAAAGAAAGGGGTCAATCTGTCATTGATTGACACTCTTCTGTGCCTCCCTTGGGTAAGACATCTGCAGGCCCCAGCAAGACGGCCATTCAATGCTCACCTTCGCTCTGGGTCTCTCCACTGGTGAACTGTTGTTACAGGGGAGGCACCCCGGGACATTCCAGGGCCCTGTGCCTTCCACACCAGGACTGGATTTAGTCCTAGAATGCCTGCTGTTTCTTGACATAAACAGTCCTTCTGGTCCTCCTGGGAGGTAGATTCTGATATATAGGCTATTATCTCTGGCCTGGTCTTAGTAAATCCTGATAGGGATTCCTCTCTGGCACCTTCCTCCAAAAGTCAAGATGTTGCCGAAGTTCTGGTTGGAAATTTTTTTTGTTGTTCTTCTTTTTTAATTTTATTTTAAATAATTTAATTTTACATATCAGCCACAGATTCCCCTGTTCTCCCTCCTCCCACCCCCACCCCCACTGGTTGGAAATTTTTATGTCTATTTCTGTGGATGACCGAGTGGCTAATTGGACAGTAGAGTTTACCAGTTTTGTTTCAGCCATTGTTCTGGGCCTCTCCACTTTTCCCTGCTCCTCCCTGGAGACCAGAGAGCCAGCCTTCGCTCAGAGCTCACTTTGGCTAAATGGCAACCAGAAGCTGACTGAGTACTCTTCTTTCTCCCCTCTGGAGGAATTCCTCTGCCCTGATCACCTACACTAGGAGGGGCAACCCAAACTTTTTTTTTTCCAGACAGGGTTTCTCTACGTAGCTTTTGGCTGTCACTCTGTAAACCGGGCTGGCCTCAAAATCAGAGATCCACCTGAGTCTGCCTCCCAAGTGCCAGGATTAAAGGCATGCACTGCCACTGCCTGGCTTCTCTTTTTTTCTATGGCTCTATTAATGGGTGTGGTAAACTAAACTACTCTCTGTTTCCTCCTGGTTCCACCATATTTCCCCTCCTGTCTCCTAGATCCTGTCTTCCTGCAGACTCGTCACACTGGAGTACTCACTTGGCCCCTCCCCCTTCCTTTGTCTCACCTGTCATTCTGCTCACTCTGCAATTTAATTCCACTCAGACATGGTGGGGGGGGGTGCGGCGGCGGTCAGCCATTTTAAACTGGCTCCTCTTCAGTGTATGTTTAAAAAGTTGATGACTGTGGAGTCATTCCAAGAGAAAGCTCATATATTGGCCTTCTTGTGGTGCAGGTTGGCCTTCAACTGGGTCCTTAGACTCCACCTATACCTAGAGCTGCCTGTCTCGAGGTTATAGGGAGCCCTGACACCAGACCATTTCCCCTACGTTGATCAGTGGTCAGCCCTAGTACAACCCCTCTCTCCCATTGGTTTTCATTCTTGGCCAGCATCCCAAAGACTTCTTCCTCACTATTTTTTTTCTCTACTTCATGCCATCATTCTTCCCTTCACAGTAAGGATGAGAAGGCAACCACCCCATCATGCCTCTCATCTTAACCCCTCATCTCCACCATTCCCTGTGGCTTACATTCTCTGTCATAAGCCCAAGCCTGGCCAATTCCTCCCTCCTGCTCTCCTCCTTAGAGAAGCCTGTCCACCCCCAGGTACAGAGTGGAATGCTTAGTCCAGGTCCATGTGTCCTCCTCAACAGCAGAACTCTATAAT